ACTTCTCAGACATGTTCCTTATGGGATGCAAGGTCTTGGGAATAGATGAGGATGTCGTCCAGATATACGATAACGCATACATCCAGCATATCAGCAAACACGCTATTGACAAAGCGTTGGAATGCAGCCGGAGCATTAGTGAGACCTTCCGGCATCACCAACCATTCATACGAGCCATAACGCGTTCGGAATGCGGTCTTCCATTCGTCTCCGTCCGCTATCCGGACGAGATGATAAGCGGATCGGAGGTCGATTTTGGTATAGACTTTAGCGCGGCTCGGAGAGTCTAGGAGGTCGGTAATGAGAGGTAACAGATATCGGTCTTTCTTGGTAATCTGGTTAAGTCCACGGAAATCTACACAGAGGCGAAGGGAGCCATCCTTTTTCTTGACAAACAGGACAGGAGCTCCGTGAGAAGAGGATGAGGAACGGAGGAGTCCGGAGGAAATGTTTTCATCAAGAAACTTCCAGAGGGCTGCAAGCTCAACTGCAGATAGAGAATAAATGGTTCCGAGGGGCGGACTAGTTCCTTCCTCTAACTCGATTTTGAGATCATAGGGACGATGAGGAGGAAGTTGGCTAGCTTTGCCCTTATCGAACACATCCGAGAATTCATGATATTCCGGAGGAATTCCGGACAGGTCCGGAGGATCGGACGAAAGGGAAGCGGACCGGAGGTCTACACCGGTCGGACGAAGGTAGATGCTGAACTGTTCCGATCCTTCCAATTTGCAGGCCCGGCAAAAGGCAACCGCATTGATCAAGGAAATGTTGGGGATGGTTTTATCAGCGGAGATTCCGGATGTAGTCAGAGGAGGTAAATCTTCCATCGGAGGATGCGGATCCGGAGACAGAAGCGACGTCGGAGGTGTCGAAGGCATTCCATGAGAAGTCGTTCGGAAATCGATGCTGCCCGAAACCCAGTCAATCAACGGATTGTGTAGGGTGAGCCAGCTATATCCAAGAACGATAAAACAAGAAGAATCCAACGGAGTAACGTAAAACGTATCGGAGGTAACTACACCGGACGGAAAACGGATAGGCAAATCTATAGCTTCGGAAATCATATTATTACAAGTACCATCAAACAAACAGAGAGAAAGCGGAGATATCGGATATGTAGGAATTTTATTTTTTCGGACGAAATCAGAGTCTATAAAACAGTGAGAGGAACCACAATCAATTAGTGAAGGAAAATCAGAAATATCAGGAAAAGTAGGAATAGAAACGTATGGACAAAGAGAGTTCGGATCGGAAAGAGAAACAGCATTGAGACGTAGCTCCGTTGCACGGGTAGAGTCAACGCAACCCTCATCCCGTGCGGAGTCGGGAGGGTTGCGGACTATTTTTTTGCTTCATCCGAAGCCTCCGGTTTGTCTTCCGGAGTTACTACTGCAGCGCGGCCTTTGGCAGTGCGCGAAGTAGACTTGGTGCATTCCCGAGCCGAATGGCCGGGTCCGCCGCAGAATAGACAGAGTTTGTTATCCATCCGTCTCTTACGTTCTTCGGACGTGAGCTTCCCGTCCTTTCCTAACTTGGAGGTAAGGTACGGAGGTTTAGAAACGGAGGATGATGCGGAAGTAGCGGGTTTGTCGGATTTGTACCTCGAAGGTCCGGACGAGTTGGAACTCGTCCGATCGGACGTGGTTTGCTTAGGAGGAATGGTGGTGGTGGGTTTAGTTTCGCGGGCGACTTCTCCCTTCCGTTCCCAGTATCGAGCGTCGATAGTCTGGGCAAGGATCTTGTATTCAGAAAGGGTGGAAGGTTTACCCATGCGACTGATTTCGTCTTTGATACGAGCCGGAAGTCCGTTATAGAATTGGCGTCTTAGGGCACCGTCACCCCAGCCACGGACTTGTGAAGCAAGACACTGAAATTCAACAACATATTTATTAATGCGTTGTCCGTCACGCATATGAAGTTGCTCCAATTGCATTTCCGCATCTCCGGACGGATCGTGCGGTCCGAAATTGGTTTGGAGTTCAAGCATGAACGCGGAGTAATCATCCATCCAATCCGGACGATCATCGTCCTCGTCGGCTAGGAGATCCGGTTCGAACCACTCGAGTGCCATACCCTTAAGGTAGGATTGGGCGAAGTTGACTTTTGCCCGTCCGGAACGGAAGGCTTTGGGTTTGCTTTGGAAGTGGAGCTCGCATTGGACGAAGAATGCACGAAGCTTCCGAGGCTCAGTGCCATCGAAAGTATCGGGCTCACGGATCTTGACTTTAGAATCTTCGGACGAGGCCGGACGACGATTGTTGCGTGCGAGATTGTCGATGGCTTGAGAAAGCCGAAGCATGACACGGTCTTGTGGGTTTAACCCGTCAAATTCATCATCGTTGTCATCCGGTTCATCATCCGGATCACCTCCGAAGTCATCCGGAGGGTTTCCACCGGGAGTATCTTCATCGTCCGGAGGTCCTTCATCATCTGGATCACCTCCGGCAGGAGCGCGCGTAGGGGTTTCCGTATGCGGACGATTCATGAGTTGCGAAATACTTTGAGCAGGACCGCGTGATACACGGCGCTGAGAGAAACTGGTGAAGGCGTTAACTACGGATGTTGGATCGTGTCGGGTGGACGAAAGTCCGACAGCGTGCAAAGCGGCTTGGTTTACTTTAGTAGGAGCCATGATATGAGTAAGTGTACTTGGAAAGGTGTGAGTTCGAATATACTGTTAAGGTCGTACTCTCGTAGGATCGGATCCGAAGGACTTCGGCCTCAGCTCGTACGCTGTGCCCCTTTCCCAAGTACTGTCCCTTATTTCAAAGTACTAACGATAACGCGTCCGAAGGTCCAGACGGGTCTCGTAGTATATCCGGAAGTCTTCCGGATATCGGAAACGCGTATAAGGCTAATCCGGACGTATCCGAACTAGAAACTAACAGAGTAAAGACTACCCGAAGGTAGAGCCGAGGATATAGACTATCGGAATCTATCCGAAGTCTCGGAGAGTGACAAGAGTAAGGAGGACTCAAGTCCGGAGGACAGAAAGAGGACAAACTAAGATGATATTCGAACTGAGGTACTACAGGACATATACACGAGTTTATATACTATGAGGATAACGGAAGTATCAGTAAGCAAAGGTCCGAGGCTATGTACGAAGCATGTGCAAAGGTTATCAAACGCGAGTCGGAAATGAGACATAGGTTAACGGATCAGTAATCAAACCGGTAATAAGCATAACCGAAACACCGGGAAGAGGAAATACCGAATAGGCTGTGTTTAACGTATATGAAACAGGAAATGAATTAGAAAGCTTATCGTAAATCGGATCGGAAGCGGATCTATACATCGGACCGGATCGGATCTCAGGGTCCGAAGTCCGGAAGAGAAGCGTGAATATATGGGATATGACAATAGGCAAGGTAGCCCGTGATGGTGGCAAGATGCATAATAGGCTACCGTAGTGCTAACAGGTCAGTAGCCTGCAACGGTGACAAGGGGTATGCTAGCCCATGACGGTGACAACAGGCTAGAAGCCTACGACAGTAACAATAGGCATGGAAGCCTACAACGGTGACAACAGGCATGGCAGCCCACGACAGTGACAACAGGCATGGTAGCCCGGACAGTAACAACCGGCAAGTAGTCCACAATAGTGGCGAGAAGCATGGTGACTCATGACGGTAGCAACAGGCACGTAGCCCACGACGGAGACGAGAGGCATGGTGGCTTACGACGGTCATGACAGGCATGTAGCCCACGACGGTGACAAGAGGCATGGTGGCCTACAACGGTGACAAGGGGGTATGGCAGCCCACAACAGTGACAAGAGGCACGGCCGCCCACAACAATGACGAGAAACAGGTAGCTCCAATGGTGACGAAGGCATGGTAGCCCATGACAATGACAGATAGGCAAGAGGCCCGTGATGGTGATGATAGGTATGTGGCCTGCGGCAATGGCGATGGGCAGGTAGCCTACAATAGTAAGTAGCCTACGATGGTGGTGACAGGTGTGTAGTAGTGTATGAGGGAAAGCGGTAAGGCAACTTGATGGATAAGCAGCAATGAAAGTGAATGCAGTCGTTCGCAGTGCAGCCAAGGTGAATGAAGCTTTGAAGGATGAACCCCAGTGAAAACCCACTGTTCTGAGAATGGCTGAGGTTGTGTGGGGTTGTGCGTGAATTTGAGAAGCCTTTGAGATTGTGTGAGATTGGCTGGCGAAGTTAATGCTAATAATAGCACTGGTCTGAAATTGTGCGAGATCGATTACCTCTTATTGTTGCCACTGCATGTTGCATTTGGCACGCACAATATCATTGCACGTTGCATCTAGCACCTGACAGCTCTACCATCACAACACTTTCGCCCACTAGCATGCCACCACCAAAAGAGTATCAAGTCATGTGCAAGGGCCACCTTCAGACCATCTCCAAATCTCAGTATTACCGCTTAAAAGCCCAGGATGGTGGTGCAAACACACGGACTCCAGAACTTCAAGCACTCTTAGCCTCTCGGGTACAAACAGATGCTCCAATTGCTTCATCAAGTACCTCTGGTAAGTTGAGAACCATTATCTACAACATCAATGCACTAATAAATGTGACTATATGTTAGCGGAGCTGACAAGAGAGCACACACGCTCAATTCAAAGTGGTGATGTGGATATGAATCTTGATGAGAATGCTACAGAAGACGAGGTAAGTAAAGTCGATTACCTACCAACTATTGTTTGAGTCATATTAGCAGGGCAACTATGCGGATGATTTCCCAGACCCTCCTGCTGCTGACGAGGGCCATTCCACACCTCCCCCAGACCCTCCTGCTGCTGACGAGGACCGGCGCACCATACAAGATATCGATTTAGATGAAATACAATGTCTTGCAAGTATCGGTGGGCAGAAAGATATATTGCAATCTATATCGTTTATTCAGGCCCTTCGACGCTCCACTTTAGATGACAGTCTCTCACCACTTGATCCAGATGCTCTTGACCGTCTCCGAAACCCTCCTCAGCATCAACTTAAAATCAAGGATCCCCATCTGCATTTAGCTATTGATACCTATCTTGCACTGGAACATTCTGCTGTAGAAGCTTACAATAATGTCCGCAAAGCTGTCCCACGATGCTATCCAGACACAGACTTTCCTTCCCACCACAAAATCAAGTGTATTGTTGCACAGATGAGCGGGATTGAGTCCATTGTAGATGACATGTGTGCAGAGGGCTGCACAGCTTTCACAGGAGATTATGCACTTCTCGACCGCTGTCCTCATTGTCATTCTTATCGCTATGATCACATCAAATACGAAGCCTCTAATGGCAAAGTGAAGTCACCTGTCAAGATGTTTCACACTGTCCCCATCGGTTCGCAACTTCAGACGCTTTATCAAGACCCTGCAGCAGCAGCCAACATGTGCTATCGTGATGAGTGGACAAAACGCATCTTCGAGGAGCTTGAACTTACAGATGGCAAGCTTTCCATATATGATGATATCATCACGGGTACAGAATATCTGAAAGCTGTGAACAAAGGAAAGATTCAAAACAATGATATTGTTCTCATGTTATCAATTGATGGCGCCCAACTCTATGAGAGCAAGGAGTCCGACTGCTGGATATATATCTGGATCATTATTAATCTCTCTCCTGATCTACGCTACAAGAAGAAGTACATCCTTCCGGGTGGAATCATACCTGGGCCTAATAAGCCAAAATTCATTGAATCCTTCCTTTTTCCTGGTCTACACCATCTCGTGGGCTTGCAGAAGGAAGGGCTTCATATATGGGATGCATCCAAGGACCGAATGTTTAAGTTGGATCTCTTTTTTGCATTTGGAACCGCAGACGGTCCTGGCTTACTTTGTCTGAGCTCAATGGTCGGGCATACCAGGAAGAATGGGTGCAGGATGTACTGTGGTCTCAAGGGACGTCACAAGCATGGGCAGCCACAATACTGCCCTGTACTCCTCAAGCCTCTCAACTATACTGTTTCTGGATGTGATCACGACAACATTGATGTCAACCAACTTTCATTATCACCATGTTCTGACTATGTCGACAATCTTTACCGTGTTGTCTCCACTACAACAACAGCCTAGTATAATCAGCAGCGGCTTAAAACAGGTATCGTCAAGCCAAGCATATTGCTTGGCCTCTTGCCCAACCGCATGTTTGGCATTCCCAAATGCTTCACCCCCGATATCATGCACTTTGAGGGCCCCAATATGGGTTCACTCTTCACTGATTTGTGGCATGGCACAATGAGATGTGATGCCACAGATGATAAAGACTCATGGGACTGGGCCGTATTCTGAGACAAGACTGTCTGGATGGATCATGGTGCCTCCGTAGCTGCATGTGCACAATACCTCCCTGGTTCGTTTGATCGGTCCCCACGCAATCCTGCCGAAAAGATCAACACTTACTACAAAGCCTGGGAGTTTATCCTATGGCTGTGGGGCCTTGGCCCAGGTCTTCTCTATGGTATCTTGCCCGACAAGTACTGGCCAAACTTCTGCAAGTTTGTACGAGGTGTCTGAATCATGAGTCAACATAGCCTCAAATTCGAAGACATACAGGAGGATCACAGGTGTTTCTGTGAATTGGAGTATGAGTTCGAATGTATATACTATCAGCGACAAGCAGACCGAATCCATTTTGTTCGGCCATGTGCTCACCAGGGGAATCATCTAGCAACCAAAGGTTTTCGATCATGTCCATCTGCATGTTATGCACAGTGGACCATGGAACGTGTCATTGGCATGCTGGGGATGGAAATATGACAGCCTTCCAATCCATTTTCGAACCTCACTTTTCTTGCCATTCACCGGTGTCAGATAAATGCCCTCAAGGTCATGATTCCTGACTTAGAGCCACCTGACAATCCACTTCCGAATCATTCTGTCAATCTTGGAGGTGGTTATGTTCTCCTCAGGGCTCGTGACAGGTACAACTATCATCCAAGTGAAGCCGAGTCGCAAGTTATTGGTGAATTCCTGGATGCACCTGTTCCAAAGTTCAAGCGCTGGGCAAGACTGTGGCTTCCAAACGGCCAGGTTGCTCGCTGTGCATGGAAGGAAACACTCAAGCCTGCAGAGAAGGTCCGCATGGCACGAAACATCAAGGTGACTGTCTCTCCTGATGTTATGACCAGCTTCTCACTGTAAATTCAGGTGACCATCAATGACAGGAATGAAATCGCACAGGTTTTATATTATGCACAGCTCGCTATTAAGGCAGACGACATAAACGACAATGAAAATGACGGGGAGTTGGAGTACCATGACGACGAGATCTATCGCTTCGTTACAGTTGCAATAGTTTCTGTCTACTCTCGCCCAGATCCAGAACTACTCCAGAAATCGATGCAGACTGTCTGGTCATGTAAATATCATGGCGATGAGGCACTGCAGCTAGTCAGTGCAAAATCCATCCAGTCCGTTGTTGCCATGATACCTCACCGTCCTAAACTCCAATCAGGAGTGGTAGAGGATCGCTTTTTTCTCCTCGAGAAGCCTGGGCTTGGGCTGGTAACTGTTGATGAGGAGGTCAAAGATGAAGCAGATGGGGATAAGTAGATCGAAGATTACCTATGATGATAAAGAGTAGACTATTGAAAGTCCAGATCTGTACAGAATCAGTAAATGTGCACATAACTTGAGTTGAAAACGCACCAAACAGGACATCTGCCTCATCTACAACCATCCACCAGATGAAGGAGACGTTACAGTGGTAAGAGTGAGTAGGAATGGTGGTAGGAATAGTGCTGGATGAGAGTACGCTCTTCCAAGCTGATGATTTGGAAGAGAGGAGAGAGGAAAGCAGCGAGGTAGCAGCTGTGGTGTCAAAAGAGATGGTGCACAAAGCCAGACCACTTGATCTATAAGTGAGTTATAACATGAGTATTTTTGTTTTTGAATGAGAAATTGAAGGGAAATGAGATTGAAGAGAAAGCCACATACACTAAGATTCTGCTGGGCAGGACTGGGCTATCTTGCGCCAATGCGTCGAGCCAGGGGCTGCGTGACGTTGAGTGCAGGCAGCGTGACCGTATGTCACATTACACAATCACACCGCTCTTTGTCTTCATCCAAGCCACACGGTTGGCTCAACGTCGATGGGTCTTGTCTACCATGGCTCAGGCCCTTTGGGTGGATCTGAGCTAGATCTGCGGTGTTCCCCATAGCCTTTCTTTGGTTGCACTGCTCTTTGTCCTGCACTAATACCATCATCATCATCATCCAGCCGCCATTCTCAGCCTCACTCCCAGATGTACTCAGTACATTTTTAGAAGATACGGTTATCAAGTGCGTTGTTGTCTCTCACGGTCGCGTCGTTCTCTATGCTGACACATTATCCCTTCTCATTTACGTCAACCATCCGCTCAACCAATGTTGTCTCGTATCCCTAGCCCAATTCCTACATCAATGTCATGTCTTCTCTCTCAGCGTCATTTCAGCGCTGAGAACGTGCTCCATTTAGGTCCGGGCCTGATTCGCACCATACATTCAAGCCTTCCTGCCATTCCTGTATCCCGCCCTCAAAGCACACAAAGATACCCAATTGTGCATGGTCGCCGTTGGCACCAGTTCTCACCCCTCTCATCAACCAGGCGCTTCTCCCATCACATAGACAACCCCACTCATCACCCTAAACCTTGGGCCATCCATCTGAGCGAGTGCAATAACTTCGGTGAGTTTTTTATTTATTTTTATTTGCACTTCACTTCCTGGTCCGACACGCCTCTAGGAGGTGACTTGGACCAGAGGCTGTCAGGCTGTGAGGACACGCCTCTAGGAGGTGACTCTGAGCACTTAAGCCTGACAGCTTCTAACTTTTATCATATCGGTTCCTACTACTAACAATTCTATCTTTTATTATAGGTTAATTTTCACTTATGCGCCTGGGAGGTGCTGGCTGTGCTGGAGGTCGGCGCGCCAGCACCTATGATCTGGCGCATATTTATTCATTTATTCTAGCCATGTTGTGCCATGGCACAAAACTTAATGGTGTCCAGTGGACGCCCCACATCATGGAGACGTGGATTAAGACCCTATGCTGGCCCATGGGCTACAACACCTACAAACACCAGCAAGCGCAGGAACTACGAAACTGTATCCATGGCGCAGTGCACCATCTGCAAAAGTTATCTGACACTTTGCCAGAGGAGTCATCCCACATGGTGCTGACCCAATCAGCCGCGCAGTCGCCTCCTGTGGCATCAACCACACACTCTCCTGCTGCACTCTCCTCGTTGCATACGATGTCAAGCAGCTTAGCCCCACACTCGTTCTCACAGCCGGCGTCGGCATCCTCGTTGCATTCTCTTTACATGTCATCCCACAGTGTTTCGCCTCCCGCATTTATGGGGGAGCGTACGCGCTGGTCATCGACGACCTCTGCACGACATCAGACCTTTTCACCCATGCCATTGACATTTTCCTCATCACAATCATCGCATACCATCCCTCGCCTGACCTCGCATTCTCACCCGCCCTTGCATCTTGACCCCTCCTCACATTCTCATTCAACCAACGCCTCAGCCTTATCGATGTATCCACGGAGCATGACCTTGTGAGCCAAAAGGAACGTGACCATGGGTATGAAGATGTGGTGGAGGTAGGACTCCTTGCAGTACATATTTCAAACGCTTACCCTTTCTTTCAGAATCCTTATCAATGCCCAACATTTTCCTTTCCGCGACGTCACTGGAAGGCAATTTTTTCCTCCTCACGCCTGTCAACACCATCACCAAATGTAGCAGACGAGGAAGCTGAGCGTGTGCGTAATGTCCGCCACCATGTGACTTGTCTAGGAAACTCTATGATCGATCGTCGCAACACTTTCATTCAACACGGACGTACAGATACTCTGTCTCCCCCTACCGGTCCTTCCCAGTCCAACCAGCCTGGCTCGCCAGCGCATCCCAAAGCTGAGTTCCTCTAAATTTAGTCCTATTGATACATTTCAAGAACTACATTGCAATATTAATGCTACATGACAAGAAATACACTAGTGAGAGTACAGTAAGGATGGCCGCACAAATTGTTGAGTGAATGAGTAATGCATATGTAAGTGCAAGGGGAAAATCAAACTTTATGTGGCTTCTTGAACCTCTCCTGGAGCTCCTCTTCAGCATATCTTTTCCCAGCTTTGGCGCTAAGATGAGTTTCATCAATTGGACGCACGTAGTAGCGCCAAGGTGCAGTGGGATTGCCTGGATCTGGATTGGGGTTCTCGAGGTGCCTGATAAGAAGGTCACATGGAGAGGCGCTGCTGCAAGAAGTAAGCAAGTAAGCAGTAAAGTGAGGCATTGGAAATCTACAGAGGAATGGGAACTGGGACCACCAACTCTTCTTCCTCATCTTCTGAAGTCTGGACCGCTGACTCTTTCTCCCATGTCTCGACCACCAACTCTTCGTCATCCTCTGATGCCTTGGCCACCGTCCCTTCTTCTGCCAGTGGTGAGTTGTCTTCCTCATCCTTACTGTTTTTCAACTGAAGTATTTGAGCATCTTTGAAGTGTAACACAACTCTCTGCATATGTGTGAGATAGTAGGTTTTACTATGCATTGAGAATAAATAAATTTACCTTGCATCCAAGAGAGTGGATATCCAGTGCGAAGCAGTATGTGTCCCAGGAAGGAACAATGTTGTCAATATCAAGGAAAATAACATCCTCCAACATATTAACAGAGTCAATTATGATAGGCATTAGGGTATTAGAATGATATGAAATCCTCCATATCGAGGACTTAATGAAATATCCCCAGACTTCGGAATTTTCCAGCAGGTCATGTGAGCGTGTTTTTGGCGTTTTGGGACATGTTTTTGGGCACATCTAACATCTTTCTCTTATACCACCACCATGTCTTATTCTTTCCCCCAGTATAATAACTTTACACCCTTGGAGAATTACAAAACTCCATACCCTAATATTCCCAATCAATTTGCAGGTAGTTCACATCCTTTTGGTGGCCAGCAGGATACCATGTCTCCCTCCCCTGATTCGAATGGGTCATTGCATTCTGATGGCATGATCTCTCCATCCCTGGACCCGTTTTTTCAACAGAGGCCAGCAAACTCACCCATTCTTATGCAGCAAGAGCATGAACCTATGGTAAGGAGTCACAGTAATATCGTAAATTAATTAGCTGAACACTATGATTAGGGAGGAAATGGACTGTTAAGCGCATATATGTGACTCAAAGAGCAGGTCAAAGCCTCACCGAGTAATTTTTTTAGATAGATGTACTAACTTGCAGTGCATATATGTGTCTTGATGTTCAGATTAAAGTCCTACAGAATGATATTTTACAGCTGCGGACAGACAAACAAATGCTGGCATGCGAGCGGGATTTATATCAGCACGTCTTTTCAATGCACCACTGGGTTTTCTGGTATCTAACTGTCGGTTTACTAGGGCTGCTTATACCAAGCTTGCAGAATCCCTCTCACTAACTCTAGACCCTGTTGGCCTCAGTACCCTCCCCCCTCAGAGTCTGCCTGTGACGCTCAAGGCAAAGGAAATCTCGGTCCCATTCTACAATTGTGCCGACTTCCCCAGCAAGTTCATATGGATGAAGGAAGACTGGAAGAAGCTCCAGGAGAAACCGTTGACCCAGCTCGAAAAGTTGCATCCACTGCACTTCGTGGTTGACAAGAGTAATAGGCCTATTCCATTGGAGCGTGTCACAGCAATACGTACCACATCCCGACGGGTGTTTGTGGACATCTGGAACATCAATGAGGCTCCCAAAAGCTGGGGAGCAGCATCGGGATTTGCTAGTAAGCTGTACTACCAAGAAATGGTAACATTCTTCCCTGAGCTTGGCTACTGTGACAGCAACTGGAAATGCAATGCCATTGCGACTGCTAGCTATACCTCTTGGCGCAAGAATCATATCAACCGCTTGGATCGTGAAGGGACTTGTAAGCCAAAGGCAGAAGACATCATCAATTTTGATGGCCTCAAGACGCTGGACTCTGACGACGCTGAGGGTACTGACACAAAGACTAATATCAACACTAAGACCACCAAATGGCGGACCCGCGATTTGGAACCGCTTGACATCAGGTCAAATTCCAGTAAGAAGCGGAAGTCCTCAGAGACATCTAGTAAGTCAATCAACTTTATCTCTATAATCATTTAACTATCTACTACGTTAATAGCCACTGAAAGTGCATCACCATCACTACCAGTCTCAGAAGTCATGGACTCAACTAGTCAATCCCTTGGTATGTCATTTAGTTTGATTCTTTGTGATCCCACCACCTTCACTTGGCAATAGTTCCAGATGGGAATACCCCACCAGATTCACCCACTAGTAACGGCCGTCCCATTTCAACAATTGCTGAGCCTCACACTGCTGGTTCCTCGAAGGAGACGACCACATCCAGCGCCCCTGCCAGAGTATGTATTTATCTTGATATTGTCACGTCACACTCAGACACTTGTTTGTAGTTCCGTGCACGGCCCTTGAAATTTGCAAACCCACTGTAAGCCTGTTTTTTTGTTCAAGAACTTGAACTGACTGATATTAGTACTACTGTTGAACCTACTAATGCTAATCGACCCCCAATAATTCAACCTTCCTCCCCTGAAGTTCAGCATACGGCTCCAGCAGATGAACCAATAACTACACAGCCCACTAGTGAACCCACACCTTCCATTGTACTGACCCCAGAACACTCCCCAGATGGCTCTGCAATTGTTTCCGATGTCCACACACCAGCCACCATTCAAGTTGCTGCTGACCTGATGCCAACTCCTAGCAGTGAGTACCACCACATGACTGGACAACCAACTCAACTTCAACTTCTTCCAACATCAACCTCTGACACGGTACCTCCACTGGATGCCTCTACCAGCAAACCTCTCAATGTGCTGGCAAAGAAGTCAAGGAAGATGCAGATCGGGAAAGCACAGAATGGACAGTTCGTCTGCATTGGTAGGATTCTTTGCTACTGTACATATTGATCGACTTCATCACAGCAACCTGTGTGCACATGAGTGGCTCACTCGTAACAAGACTGGATCAGCAGCTGAGTTCAAGATCCACTATGATGGACTGTCGGGAGCACAGAAGAAGGTGCGCCTTCCATCTCATTTTTCCTTGGCTTAGACTAACATATATTCATCAGTCATATGATGAGCTCGCTACCACGAAAGTACGTACTATGACTAGAACATGTTGCACCTACCTACTTACAGATACGGTATTCTTCCAACTAGGTTGCAGTGGGTGAATGGCCCTGTTAGTGACATCACTCTCCTTCTGACTTCTTGCGACCTCGCTGTCTCTTAGTGTCTATCTTGATCATCCTCGCACCAGGATCCCTGTCAGCAATAGTGGACCACAGTGCTCCCTCCCCCAGAACTTCTTGTGATCTCATGGCCTCTCAGGATCGTTCAAGTTGGTCACCTCCTGGTCGACTTGTAGGAATAGCTGTATGGAGTATGGGCTAGAATGGACGGTGACAGGATGTGCTGTCGGGTGCCATTGGTGCCGAGTTTTATTGTATCTGTGTATCTGTAATGTATACTACACTACACAATACCAGCAGATCTGGCACAATCTAGGATGATGCAATGAGCATTGCATCCACACAATACCAGCAAATCTGGCACAATTTAGGGTAACATGAAAATATTGCATGCACACAATCAGCAACAATAGTGCACAATCCCACACAATTGCACATGTGCTATTAGTCTCATTTTTCTGTTGAGATTGTGTCACTCAGTTTAGACAATCTCACGCAACCTCAGCCATTCTCAGAACAGTGGGTTTTCACTGGGGATGAACTATGGCTGCGAGAGGGGGAACATAGACGGCGTGATAGGAGATAGGATTAGTAGAAAATCCAGCCTAATGTGACATGTCCGAATGCGCAAGAGTGTCTAGGTTGGCATGTAAATGCAGATTCAGGCTCTAGGGCTTCAGTCTCCGAGCACATAGAGTTATCAACGCGAAGCCTGGTGAATGAGGGGAATATGGTTGAATAGGAATTATTCACGACATCAAAGAGAAATTATGCGAGCGAGCAATAGGGATTGGAGAGAAACGAGTGAGCGGATCATATATCGTAGGCTGTAGCGAATTGGCGGAAATCGAGAGGATGAAGAAACACGCTTCTGCTCAGCTGGACGTGTGGTGCCAGTTCCTTGCGTGCCTCCAGGAACCGGCACCTTTGGCAAACACATCTTCGCACAGATCCCCAACTGCAGTTTACAAGACCACTATTAGATCATCGAAGAAAATGCCAGCAAAATTTCAAGTAGCACATGTTCATTTGTCACTTGCTTTGGTAAGCACGCAGTTGTGCTCTGGAACATGCCGGTGCTTGGATCCACCCTGGACGTTGACTAGTAATTGATGAATATCCCTGCATTTCGAACAAGTGGGATCAACATAGAAGTGGAGGGAACATTTTGGTGCTTCGCTTCATGAACATACCTCGACTACTGTCCAAACATGATGTTTGTTTGTACTGATAGCCAACTGCATCACACAAGACAATTGTTAGTTAACTGATCAAGATGGGGTTGATTTTTTGAGAGCAACAAAAATGGTATCATTGTTACTTGCTTATCACTAGTTTGTTCTCTGGAAAGATTCCAGGTTTCGCGCTTAACGTTGACATTTTGGACTTTGCTTCCTACATGGCTATTATAATTCATCCAGTTTAAGTATCTGAGTTTGCTCTATCTTTCCTTGAAGCTAGTTATGTCATGGCTTGGCTCGGCCCGGCTTGGGCTCGGCTTTTACCGGCTACACCTGTAGTTTGGCTATACTGGCAAGTTGAACCACATTATCCAGCTTGGTTCGACTTGTTAACTGCATGAGTCGGCTACGAGCCATTTATCCAGAAACTTTGACTCGAGCCGGTTCAAGTTGGCTACAGTTGGCTTTAGTCACGTGAGAGTTAAACAACCCTGCACGCCATGTGCAGTGGGCACCATGCAGTGCGCCCTACCATCAAATCTCTCCCTGTAACATTGAGTCCTCTAGCATGCATAAGGTACCAACTCGAATTGACGGCCAATTCAGGCTGGAAGATATTTTGGGGTCAGGTTCATATGGTACATTCGATAATCAATGGATTTACATTCAAGTTTTCAATATATATTACTAGCTGTTGTATACCGTGCAAAGAATTTCCTCGATGATGATACTGTCGCTATCAAACTTGAACCAGTCACTGTTAATTCATCTTCTCTGGAGCACAAACACCAAATCCTCAAGCAACTCGAAGGTGGAGTTGGGATTCCCCATGCCATTTGGTTTGGCAGGGAGTCAATGTATTACGCCTTGGCTCTCGACCTCCTTGGGCCATTGTTGCATGAGCTCTTCGTTGCATGTAACCACAAATTTAGTCTTCAAACTGTTCTTAACTTAGGAGACCAGCTGGTATTTTGGTTCAAATTTGTTGTGGGTCACTGCAGTTACTAACTTATTTTCCAGCTGTCACGTCTCGAGTACATTCATTTACACGACTATGTTCATGGCGATATGAAACCGCAGAACGTTTTGATGGACAGTTCAAGGCAAACTGCTCATATTATCGATTTTGGTATCGCGAAAAGATACCGAAATACTGCAACCAAATCCCACATCCCGTTTCGTCGAGGTCAACATCTCACAGGCACCCCCGCCTTTGCCTCAATCAACAATCACTTGGGATTGGAGCCGGGTCGCCGTGACGATCTCGAATTGCTCGCTTATATGTTAATCTATTTCTTACGTGGCTCCCTTCCATGGCTACATGGTGACCAAGAGAGGCTTTCCAGCTCCTGGATACTCGAGCGTAAAGTAGATACCACCATCGCTGATTTATGTGATGGAATTCCTACTGCGTTCGCAAATATTCTTGTCTACTCACGCTCTCTCTTGTTCTCAGAGGATCCTGATTATGATCATCTTCGTTCTTTGCTTCACCATCTTCACACCGCAGGGCCTGCACCAGCTGCTTACTCCCTGGATTTTGATTATCCCATAGCACCTTCCCCTCAATGTCCTCAAGCCTCTGAATCAGTGCTATGTCTGCCAAAGGCAACACCTCTTCGCAGATCAACTTGTCTGTAAGTAATCTCATTTATCTTACACACCGCACTCACGACCTCATTGCTTTCAAGCTTACATTCACGCAATGATACCCTAATGCCTGTAACTACGTGCAGATAAAGACAAGAGTTGTATAGTTATTTTTCTTTTTTCCGTACTACATCTGTGCATGCTGGACATTGTTTAATAGTATCTACGTATATGTATATACTGCACATGGTCTGTGCGCATATGCTGTGTAATTCCCAGATATTGATTCCCATGCTTTGATCTGCCCTCTCATCAGTACACCGCAGTGATGACCACCCCAATTTCGCCCAATCTTTTCTCTTTGATCATTCTGCGGCTACAACTGTATGGACTGATCTTGCCCAGGACCCAACCCTCATGTTCTCCTCATGGAGATCCCCACCTGGTCACTGGTCTGGCTGATACAGTAAGGACAGCTATGGAGAGTTCCTAAACAAAACGTGTATGTGTTACAATCGCTCTACTTTCTTTACTTCTCACGTATCTGCCATTATGCCTTACGTTCTTAGCAGTTTAACTTTCCTTTCTTGGTCTTACTTCCGCATTCGACCTCTGTACTATTATCTCACCGTAGCCTTGGTCCGTGCGCATATAGTTTCCTATTTAAGCACGTGTACTTTACTTAGAATCGTCACTTCAATCTTACTAGGTTTTACCCTGAAAACTTCCTTCTCTTAAGACCACCAATCTTAAGACGTCAGAACCGATCTCTTTGTCAAAGCACTCCTTTGACTAAAGTCTACGAACCTCTTCTTATCTGAAGAGCTATACAAAGACCTCAACAACGTGAACGCTCTGTCGAGCCTTTGTTGTTAAAGAACTATCCTAGTTCGTAACAAAAGATTGAAGTACAGAAGGACACCTATATCCATACGTGTCAAAGAAACCTCGAAACCAGAACAGAAAGATCCTGACTGAGCAAGACAGCTAGTGCAGGCGAAGAAAAAGGCGACAACCTGACTTCACTCACCCCTACCTTCCAAGCCCTGAACCTTGGTACTCCTGTACCACCATTGAATATGTCGGCCTCATCCAAAACAACAGAATTCAAGATCAACCATCCTCCTACATTTGATGGCGACAGAGACAAGTCCAAGTCATTCATGCTCTCATGCAATGCTTACATTGATATCAACTCGGAAATCTATAAAACCGACACTCAGAAAGTGATCTTCATCTCCTCGTTCATGAATGAAGGAAATGCTAGGTCATGGAAAGAAGAATTCCTCGCAGAAGCCCAATTCATCGACTCAACTGGACAAAAGAAGGGCTATGGAACCTTGAAAGAGTTCAACGAAAGCTTTGACAAAGCCTTCGGACCGATTGACCCATCCGGGACCGCATTGGCACGACTCCTGGAATTAAAACAAGGCCCAGAAGGCCTGCAGACGTACATTGCAGACTTCAAAAGGTTACTCGCCCAGGCAAAGATCAAAGAAGAACATATGATGATCTATCATTTCGAAAACGGCCTCAACGGAGGACTTCTAACCAAAATGTTCAACGCAGGAGGGGTACCCAAGAACCTCGATGACTACATCGCTGCGGTAGTCGATCTGGATAATTGCTATGCAAGATTGCTAGCTCGGAGAAGCAGGTTTCCTTCCCGACAAATCCAGAAGAAGAACGGTCGCGGAGATCAAAGATACATCCCAGCCAGAGATAGGGACGCCATGGTTATTGATCGGATCACCGACGAAGCCAAGCAAGAATACATGAGGACAGGAAAATGTTTCAACTGTCACCAGATCGGACATCGGGCACGGGAATGTCCGCAGAAGAAGAAAGCCCCCTACCCAGCAGTGAGGAAGGTAGAGGAAGAAGAAGAAGCTAGAAGAATTGATGAGGATTTTTAAACAGGAGACCTATATCGACGATAGCATCTCCAGCAAAACCTGTACGCCTAATACGAACAGTTGGTGAAAAGAAAGAACTTCGTGTCCCCATAACCCTCGTATCCCGAACGCGTCAGAAAAATGTCGAAACCACCGCAGTAATTGACTCCGGAGCATCGGGGACCTATATCTCCGAGGACTTCGTGAAAAAACATAACATTGGAACCAAGAAACTCGAAACCCCTTTTTACATTAAAACCGCCGATGGAAGCTACTTCAGCAGCGGACCTGTAGAACGGTACTGCACGCTAATCGTTCAAATCGACCAAAGGATGATGATAGGAAAATTCAACATTACCAAGTTAGGAGACAAGGACCAGATCCTACTAGGGATCCCCTGGCTTCGAGCCATGAACCCCGCTATAGACTGGACCAAACAAACGGTATCCCTTCCAGCAACAAAAAAATCTGTCGAAATCAAAAAATATGTCAAGCAAACCTCTCGACCACAGAAGACCTTCTTCACTAAGAAGTTCAATACAAAAGAAGACGCTTGGAGTACGTCACCATCATCCCTAACCGAACTTACGGACGAAGGAGAATATCTTCGACAAGTCGAAGAATCTTCCAAGTTTAGTAACAAAGCACAGGAGTTCGCCTCAGAAGAAAAAGAAAAGAAGAAAAAATCTTTTGAAGAATTGGTACCGAAGTATCTCCATGATTTCTCTGACGTATTCGCAAAAAACGGCTTGAACGAACTACCCCCCAAGAGGCCCGGTATCGATCATCGTATCGAAACGAAGCCCGGATTTACTCCCAAAACGTCCAAAATTTACCCTCTTTCCTACAACGAACGAAGCGCAGTAAAAAGATTTATCGAAGAAAACCTTGCCAAGGGGTTCATCACGAAATCTAAATCCCCTCAAGCAAGCGGATTCTTTTTTGTAGGAAAGAAAAGCGGAGAACTTAGACCATGCCAGGACTACCGCTTCTTGAATGACCAGACTATCAAGAACGCGTACCCCCTGCCACTCCCGTCATCTTTGGTTGAACGGTTACATGGCGCAAAGATATTCACAAAAATTGATATTCGATCCGGATACAATAACATTCGGATTCATCCGGATGACAGGTGGAAAGCCGCGTTCATCACGGAAGAAGGACTGTTTGAACCCACGGTCATGTTCTTCGGATTATGCAATTCCCCTGCCACTTTCCAAGCGTATATGAACGATACGTTCAGAACTGAACTCAACGAAGGATGGCTCGTCATCTACATGGACGATATGCTCATCTTCTCCGAAACAACCACAGAACATCAACAACGAACCTGCATCATTCTAGACAAACTTCGAAAAGAAAAATTATTTGTTAAACCGGAGAAATGCACATTCGATGCGGAAGAAGTGGAATACCTTGGAATGATTATCAAGCCAGGAAGCGTAGAAATGGATAAAGGAAAAACGGCAGGCATCAAAGACTGGCCCACCCCTAAAACAGTAAAAGACGTTCGATCCTTCTTGGGCTTTTGCAACTTCTACCGAACCTTCGTTTCCCACTACTCGGATATAGCTCGACCCCTTATCGACCTAACGAAGAAGGATGTCTCATTCTCTTGGACGCCCCTGTGCCAGCAAACGTTCGAGAAGCTAAAAGAATGCTTCACTTCACACCCTGTTCTTCAGAACCCTGATCCCCACCATCAATTCGCCATCGCTACGGATGCTTCTCTTGTCGCATCAGGAGGAGTATTGCTGCAGACTGACACTAATGGCGTCTATCACCCATGTGCATACCTATCGCAGTCATTCAGTCCTGCCGAAAGAAACTACCCCATTCATGATCGCGAGCTGTTGGCTATTATCCGCGCTCTCACCCATTGGCGACATTACCTCGAAGGACATCCACAACCGGTTATTGTATTCACTGATCATATGAACCTCCTCTATTTCGCAAAAGCAGAGCGCCTATCCAGAAGACAGGCCAGATGGCAACTACTCCTCACTTCTTTCGACTTAAAGTTATATCACGTTCCCGGTACAAAATTAGCAGTTCCAGATGCCCTTTCTCGCCGACCGGACCATGGCGACGGGTCGGGAGATAATGCTGACGCCGTCCTCCTTCCTGATTCCATGTTCATCCGCCTAATCGATGAAGAATTACGAGCAGCTATTGCTTCCACCGCACCCCTTGACGACCCCCTCTTCTCTGCCGCGCAGGATGCCCTTAATGGCCTATGTTTGCCCCCTATGAAATCATCGCTTAGCAACTGGCGAATCGCCGATAATATTCTGTTCTACAAAGATAGAGCTTATATCCCTCCCGCACATCGACCGCAGTTACTCCGGAAGCATCATGATCACCCTTCTGCAGGACATCCCGGACGCTTTAAAACCGAAGAACTCGTCAAACGGGAAGCCTGGTGGCCCAGTATGGGCACTTATATCCGCAATTACGTCGATGGCTGCGCTACGTGCCAACAGATGAAGGTGGACACTCACCCTGTAACCCCACCCCTACACCCTATCAGTACTATGGCTACTCGCCCCTTTTCCCAGATCTCTGTCGATCTCATTACCGATCTCCCCATTTCATCTGGTTTTGATAGTGTCATGGTCGTGGTAGACCACGGACTTAGTAAGGGGGTGATCATTACTCCTTGCCATAAAACAATTACCTCGGAAGGAGTGGCGAAGCTATTTTTAAAACACGTCTTCAAAAGATTTGGTCTCCATGACAAAGTAATCTCCGATCGTGGACCACAGTTCTTATCCAGATTCTCGATCGAACTTGCACGACTCCTAGATTATTCTTTAGCCCCCTCCACTGCCTACCACCCACAAACCGACGGACAGACCGAACGATTAAACCAGGAACTCGAGACGTATCTTCGAATGTATTGCCAGAACAATCCTTCTGAATGGGTGGAACATCTCCCTATGGCAGAATTTGTTCACAATCATAGAAGACACTCCGCAAAAGATGCATCTCCCTTCTTTATCATGATGGGATACGAGCCGAAAGCTCTCCCACACTTACTCCCGGAATCGGACGTTCCCGCTGCTGAGGAACGAGTCAGAATTCTTCAAAAGATAAGAGAAGAAGCCATCTCCTGTCATAACATTGCTATGCAATGAATGGCGGAAAGATCCTTCG